CCGTATAATAGTAAGGTAACCCTCTGCGGTCCGTATAATAGTAAGGTCACCCTCTGCAGTCCGTATAATAGTAAGGTAACCCTCTGCGGTCCGTATAATAGTAAGGTACTTGACTTGGACATTTTAAACTGATTTTCAAATTAGCACTGGGAAGAAATGGTGATCTACTGAGTCTAAGGTCTCAGCTGCTTCTAAAGATTAAGGATGTCCTGGTCCCAAAGTCACCTCTTTCTTGTATGCTTTTATTTTCTTGACTGTTAAGAGTAAGGTGTGAATTCTCCAGCCGCTTGCTTCAGACACCTCCAAGCTCTCTTGCCGACCTCTTCTTCCTCTTCCTCTTCCTCTTCCTCTATTTCTTCTTCTTTTTGGCAGCTCTCCACCTTTATTTGAGATTCAGCAGGTTAGCTCTCATCCACATTGACTGTAGATTTTTGAATGTGGCAGCAGATGTGTAAGTTACCAATGTGTGGAGCTTGTGTGGTGAGTCCTCATCCTCACGGCATTTTCTGGACAAACGTACCCGGATGCGGTATGGAACATTCCTTACTCCTTCAGCCCAGATGGCTTTATTGAGCCTGGCATCAAACCACACATCTTGAGTCCCTATCTCCTTCATGGCAAATTTCCAGTTGCTTTGAGTGCCCTAGGGGCACGCTTCTTGAAGCCCATGCCATGGATGCACTTGTGAATGTTGATGGTGTATTCTCGGGTCAGCACCTCGCTGCCTGCCTTCTTGTTCCTCCTGTTCTGTCCCCTTCCATGAATGACGCAGGACTTTGTAGGACTCTTCAAACTTCCTATATGTTTTTATTTTCCATTATGTTCACAGTTCAATCATATGAAATGGAAATAAATTAGGATTTTATTTGTGGAGTTGTGATCTTTGGGTCACTTTTCCATCCTATTCAGAACTAACCCAGTACAATACTTTCAGCCAATGTTAAGACAGATTGTTGTGAATAGAACATTTTCTTTTCTATACCCATACACACAAGAAAAGATAGTGGGAAGGATTGAGAATAAAAAGGGGATGGGGTATGCAAGACCAGAGAGGAGAAGAATTGCTCCATGGAAACATTAGGCACCATGCTTCTAACTTAAACCAAACTTTCTGTAAATCTTAAGAGGTCCAAATAGAACCAGCGGTTTGCTCAGTGGGTAAAATGTGAGCTCAGTGCCCAGGACCTGCATATGGGGAAAGGAGAGAACTGACTTGCAAAGCATTCTCCAACTGTCACACGCACACACACACACATGCACGCGCACGCGCACACACACACACACACACACACTCACACACACACACACACACACACACACACATGCAATCCAGACGTTATAAAAGATCAAACACTGATGCAAATTAAAAAGTGCCTGAGAACCCACAAGATGTGGGCAAATCTGTCAGCAGCCCCAGCCCCTCCACTTCCATGTCTAGTGTCCCCAGTGTTTGATGTAACTTACTCAACATGGTTATAAATAAATCTATAATTTTTTGCAAGGAAAAAATCCAAATTTTGGTTCAGATCTCCAGCTTGAGTTGAGCTTTTCTGTATTTTCTCATCACTTTGAGGTTTAAAATCCTAAGGAGTTTGAAGACTTTACTCTTGCTATCGTTTGTATCCAGTCTGATGTTCTGTTTGCACTGAGTTGTTCCGTGGGTGCAGAGCCGCATGGTACAAAGCTGTGCATCTCCTGCATTGTAGATTGTGGTGCAGACGCCATCCCGCGGGGATGTCAGCGGCAGTGGGTCAGGTGGCTTTGAAGACTTGGAGTCAGGTGACAGTGGATTTTCAGGAGACACCGATGAAGGAGAAACTGCCCCCCTGAGCCGAGCCAAAACTGTGAAGGTATGTATTGGTTTCTCTTAGTGGTTTGCTTTGGTTTGTTGTGGATTGCGTTGTTCATTTGGTTTGTCTTCACTGGGAACTGTCAAAACAGTAGCATTGCATGTGAAAGGCCAACACTGAGCATATGACTGATCTAGCCTCGTCTGCTTGCAGGTGTTCCAGTTTAACTGCAGCTTGCGGCAGCTGAGGAATCCCAGTGGCTTCCAGGACCCGCTCGATGGAAATATCACCTTCAACATGGAGCTGTACAGCACAGACCTCTTCCTGGTGCCCTCCCCCGGGGTCTTCTCTGTGGCAGAGAACGGACATGTTTATGTCGAGGTAAGAATAGAGTACTCGCCGTGGCACCCAGCCTAGTACCCCGCAGCTCCTGTGACACTCGTTGACACCTTCATCTAGGAAACAGCTTGGCTCAGAAAACTCTTCCAGGTCACCTTCTGAATATTGGGATGTTATGGCTTATGCTAAATGGATGTAGCGGGTTTTTTTGGTAAATGCCAAAAAGAAAACAGTGAGCAAAATGTGTCATCTACCAGTAAAGCACCCTGTTCGTTTCGCTGTCCATACTTTCAGAGTGTGAGGGTTAGGCATGGACGCTTTCAGATTGCCTCACACTTTATCTTAGATTTACTGTCGAGTGAGAAGCTCTGTGTGTGTGCATGCATGTGTGTGTGCGTGCACGTGTGTGTGCTTATGTGTGTGTCGGTGTGTGTGTCTGTGCATATGTGCATGTCTGTATATGCGTGTATATGTGTCTGTGTGCGTGCACGTGTGCGTGCATGTGTACATGTCTGTGTGTGTGTCTGTGTGTGTGTGCATGTGTGCATGCGTGTGTGCATGTCTGTGTGTGTGTGCGTGTGTGTGTCTGTGTATGTGCACGTATGTGCGTATGTGCGTATGTGTGCATGTCTGTGTGTGAAGTTGTTTCTGCCAAGTCATTATCTAAATCACCTCCCGAATTTGTCAAAGCCATTTCCTATCTACAACAGAGTCACCGTGCAGAGCTTACATCTGGAATGTCTATGAAAATATTAGGCAGTGGTGGTAATAACGAAATAGTAACCGCTAATATGTATTGCTGTTGTATGACGTACCGAATGCAGTTGTGACTATCATAATCATGAATTGACTTGTCAGCAGGATCCTGTAAGACTGGACTCATTTTTAAGATCTGACTTTCAGATGAGAAAATTAAGATTCAAGCCGTCCAAAGTAGCGCAGCTATGGAGTCCTACCTCTCGAGGCCACGCTATTGGCCACCAGGCGCCACTGTCATGGCCCCTCAACTTGTCATTTGAAAGGGAAGAAAACGTAACTCCGTATCAATGTCAGTCTCTAAGTTCACAGATTCATTCTGGGGAAGATGGACCTTGGCAGCAGGCTGTCTGCCATTTGTGTGTCCTGGGCAGAGTCTGTAGTGACCCCATTGGGCATACCATCTGCTGGTCTCACTGAAAGGCATCTTTGGCTTTGGCGTGAAGCAGCTGGCTGTTGTTGTGCCTCACTGTGGGAGGGGTGAGAAGCTTCCATGGGTGACAGCCACTACAGAACACCTTTGCGTTTCCAAAGACAGACAGTGTGCATGTAGCCCAGGATGCTTTCTGAGGTCATACTGGAGCGGTGTCGTCCCCCCGCCACCCCACCCCGCTGTGTGTGCATTGCTGCGCTTTGGGGGAAACCACTGCTCTGTGTGTGTTGTCCCTAACCATGATTGCCCCTACAAGAGGGTTCTTTTCCTCAGCCTTTTCTGTGTTCACAGCCCACAGCCTCATTAGTCAGTGACTCCTGACTATGCCGTAGGTTGGAAAAGACACTCCTTAGCTACAGCTTGCCCTTTTCCAAGCATGTGCCTAGATCTGTTCCTTTGTGGCTTTGCCAATTTATGCCAGCTAGTGGCTGATCTGCCTTGTGTATCCCACCCTCAGTGTTCTCCTTTTTCTCTCCTTCCCCCTAAAGTAGTCGCTTACTTGAACTGTGTTGTTGGGAGGTTCCCTCTCCCATCCCCTCTACATTTTCACTCTTGTTTTTCCGGCTATATCTTTTTACTTATCATGTTTTTATAGTTAAATTTGATTTTAAAAGTAGATCAAATATTTTTTTGCTGCTTTAAATATCAAGTATGTTAAGAAGGATTTGAAACTGGGGAGTAGTTATGAACCGGTTTAAACTTGATTGAAGCTACCCCAAACCTGAAAGAATCTGTAAATGTTTTGCTAAATAGGGTAGCAACTGGCCATGCCCGGTCTTTCTTTCCCTGTTTGGACTCCACCTCTGGTAGGAAAATTTTTTTACTTAAGTAAAATAAAACTTCATAAATCACTGGCTTAACCTGAAAAGTCAATCATGTCTTGCTTTCTTCTCCAGCTGCCCTCCTTAGCCTTTTCTGGAACCTTGTACTTTCTCTAGTCCACAGTTCTTTCCCTTAATCCAAGGTGGTCATTCCCGGGTGACGCCTGGTGATACCACGGCCGTTCTTCTTCTCAGTTCTTCTGGCTTAGTCAGCATCTAGAGTCCCACTGCTAACAGTGGGAGTTCTTACTGGCTGGGACCCACGCTGTTGGCGGGAACCTTTTCTAGTCGCTGTTTCTCACACTAACTGCATCTTCCGCATTAATTGCTGCTGCAATTGATCATGTAGGTGGGAAGAGAGCTTTTGGTCTGCATGTCAGGAGCAGAGCGTGAGGATTCCTGGGTCTGGTCTCATTCCCAAGCCTGTAATCTTCCTACCATTCACTTCTGGTCCGTTCTGCAGCAGGACCTAAGGTTTTTCTCCTCTGAAGCACTGAGGAGACAGTCTAGGCAGACATTCTGCCTTTGCATACCTTTGAAAGTGAGGAAAGAGTCAACATAGTTTTACACTGAAGACTGAGTTCATGTTAAATGGCACTTTGTGTTTGTAACATGTATGTAACTTCTCGATAATCTCTCTAAGATAGAATAGCTTGTTCATCAGAAATAACTCGGAAAGATAGTGAAAGTAAATATTTGTGGAATGTTAAGCAAGGTGGCAACACCATAATTAGCTCTGCCGTCTGTTCATGTCCATGTTGAATGTCCGTCGTTACCAGTGTGGGATCTTTTGGGCGTGCTATGGATGAGGGCTTCTGCAGTGCTGGGGATTTCCCCTGGGCGGGTTCCAAATGCAAGGCTTGTTTATTATCTCTGTCTTTTTCAGCATTTGGGGGCTCATGGTCTATGGGTGAGGACTAGCTTTATGTCTAAAGTGTTGAAGTTTATTATTTATACTTAGTTTAGCTAAGGAAAGAGTCAGATGAGTTGTTCACACAGCCCTCACGTGTCACCAGACAGTCAAGCCAGCCTGCTGCAGGGATTCTAGCAGGGTTCAGGAGAGCTAAGGTTTGAATGCTGTTTACATTTGGCTAAGCACTTCTTTCCGTGTCTAAACAAAAGAAACTTCAGTAAGATTTGGACATGGCACACACAATGCTTTGTAAGAGGGAACTATAAATGAGTTGGAAATGTCTCCAGGCTAGTTTTCCCTTTAACGCCGCCCCCGCCCCCCCTCCCCCAGGAGGATTAAAGAATGACAGGCGAGTTCTTGGCAAGACTGGTTTGGTGCCAGGTTGGTGACTCCCACCAGGTCACACTGTCCCTGCTACAAAGCACCACGGACCTGCTGACTGACAGAGCAGGCTGCATCTACGACATCCTGCTCCTAGCATTGCCCCGCCTGCCTCCAGCACGGGGATTCTCCTCCATCCTGAGCTACAGGGCGGCATTAAAAAATCTCGTCCTGGTCATAATCTGCTGTTGTGGCGCTGCGGGCTTCGCCTGTGTGTGCTTATTTCGTAAAATCCACTTAGGTGCATAACTGGCTTTTACTTTTTTTTATCTCCGTGGGCTTCCAGAGGGCCAGAGAGACTTAACCCATTTTGTATTTGTAACTTGCAGAGTTTGAATTAAACAGTTTGTTGTCATTCGCATCAAGTTAAAATGAGAACTATCTCTCACCAATCAGTGTGTGTTTCTGCTACAGCCAGAGAGCTGTAAATAAGTTATGAAAACAGAGCAATGTTACCCAAAGAACTATGTCAGGATAGCATCTGGGTGGCTAAAGTAAAGAAAGCTGCCAGCCATTTCTGACTTGATCTTGTTCCTTGGCAGGTATCTGTCACCAAGGCCGACCAAGAACTGGGGTTTGCCATCCAAACCTGCTTTGTCTCTCCGTTCTCAAACCCGGACAGGATGTCTGATTACACCATCATTGAGAACATCTGTCCCAAGGATGAGTCTGTGAAATTCTACAGCTCCAAGAGAGTGCACTTTCCTATCCCGCACGCCGAGGTGGACAAGAAGCGCTTCAGCTTCATCTTCAAGTCCGTGTTCAATACCTCCTTGCTCTTCCTACAGTGCGAGCTGACACTGTGCACCAGGAGGAAGGGCCCACAGAGGCTGCCGAAGGTGAGTGGGTTCTCGTCTGTCAGAGACGCCATGGGAACGTGGAATCCAAGTTACTGCAGGCTGAGGTTGTAGTTTTGAGTTTTTGAAGCCTTCTGGTCGAAGCGACAGGGAACAGTGTGCTTTAGGGTTTTGGAAAATAAACCCTGACAGTGAGTTAGTATTTTCCGTACTTGCTTAACTGTACCTTAGAGTGATAAACCAGGAATGATTTCCACCGAGGGAGAGGCTGGCCCTGGCTCTGTTGGTCAGACAGTGTGCCGTGCCAGAAGAACAAGGAATCGAAAGGACAAGATCAGTGTGAGGATTAATTTTTCCAGGTCCCACTGAGACTGGGATTGCAATTGTTTTTTTGACCTTCTCTGTGTGGGTTATAAGATGGCCTTCTCTCGGGAGGATTTCTAAGGGAAATTAACAAATATTTTACTTTTGCCTGGTTTCTTATCAGCTCATCGTATTTGCCTCGTGCCATTGCCCATATTAAACGGCTATGTTCTGTTGCCATAACAGAAATTAGAACCTTTTGACCTTGTTGGAGCAGCCACTGCAGGGGCTCTGTTGGGTCAACTATGACACCTTGTTAGGTCTGCCTTGTGTGGGACAGGTATCTCCTGCTGTTGCTTCATTTCTATGAGCTAATGTGATTTCATATAATTTCCTCCGCATGTTTATTCTGTAACTATTACACACAGTCTAAACTGGATTCTAATTCCCTTGGAATCTGGCATCTACTAGTGTCTCAGAAGTCCAGAATCAAGCTGTAGCATTTATATCTTTAGAATTCTCTTATACAGAGACTGGAAGAAAAAGGTAGGTGGAGAAAAATACCTATTAAATAGATTTCTACTGACCTGAATTCCTTGAATCATTTCCCGGAGAAATCACTGAGTTTTGTCTACAAATTAATACACAACCAATTACCAGTCCTCAGGGAACATAGCCAAAGACCCAGGCTCTGCTCACTTGTCTGCTTCTAGAGCCACTGCCACCCTTAGTTCTTCTCCCAGAAAGGAAAGCAGCACACACTTCCCTCCTGGGTGGAAGAGCAAAGGAGGCAGGATGCTGAGGAGGAACTGTTAATGCCTTCCTCTTACAGGCAGCGGTTCCCTATTCCTTGTAACTCCTGAGTACTTCTGTGACCTTCTAGGAAAAGGTACCCATGATCACCCAGTCTTGCCCTGCCCTTTGTGAGTTAAGTGTATGGGCCAGGGTCAGCCTCTGAGATAGAGTAAGCATTGGGCTAGCCAGACAGTCAAGGAAGCTATAGCAGTGAAATGAACCTCACATCTTCTCAGCAGCATGCCTTCTTCCCACCATGACCTGCCTTTCCCTCTGCAGGAAAGGTTTTTTCAGGGTGTTAGGGGTTGGGTATCTTCTTACAGTGTGATTCTGGCTTGTGTGTGGCCCAGAGAGGCATGCACTTTTTCAGATATGATACCCTCCACCTCCAGACATGTCCCTGATAAGTTTCCAGACTTAAAATAGCTAGAAACTGCTGGTCTCGTACTTCTACTATGTCTCGTGACTTCTACTATGTCACGCCTGGGTGACATAGTAGAGCATGTGTGAGGTACCGGGTTAAATGTTTGCACCAAGGGAAAAAAATGAAAAGTCCAAACCAAAACAAACAGAAGATGATTGTGGGAAACATAATTTTGTAGAATGTAAAAAAAAAATCCAACAAGTATGACAATATGTTTACAATTATCAACAAATATAAATTCTATCATAACGCAATAAATGCAGTTTCCCACAATCACAGATTGTAGATGTTATCACAAAGAAGCCATTATTGAACAGGGCCAAGAACATCACATCTGTAGTTCACCCATTTGTCAAACGAATTCTGAATCTTTAACTCTTTGTGGGGAAGGGCCGAGGAGGCTATCTGTAAGCTGTCCGTTGATGTTTGCGTCTTCGAGTACAGTGAAAAGCATACCAGGCCTGCCTTGCTATCTCCCTGATTATTTAGGGTTCTTTGAAAAGCACACAGATGCCCTGTCTTCTCCATGGTTAGCAGCCGTGAGCTCTCTGGTAAGGGACCAGAAGATAGCCGTGTGCAGGACTTGTGACTTTCCTATGAGCCATGACCATGACTGCTTTGCTCCGCCTCTCCGCAGTGTGTGAGTCCTGATGAGGCCTGCACCTCTCTAGACGCCGCCATGATCTGGACCATGATGCAGAATAAGAAGACATTTACCAAGCCCCTGGCTGTGATCCACCAAGCAGATTATAAAGGTGAGAATGGGGGCCTAAACCTGCTCCTCGTAAAGATCCCCAAAACACACATGGTGAAGGAGAAAGATGATGCCTACAAGGTTCCTCTGACCTTCATCTGCACGGTGTGACACATATGCACACATGCATGCACACAGACACATGGAGTAATGTTTCCTCTGACCTTCATTTGCGTGTTATGACACATATGCACACATGCATGCACACAGACACACACAGTAATATTTCCTCTGACCTTCACTTACATGAGATGACACATAATGCACACACAGAGACACACAGTAATGTTTCCTTCATTTGCATAGTGTGACACATGTACATGGACACACAGAATAAGATCATCACTTCCTCTGATCATCACTTACATTGTATGACACATATGCACACATGCACACACACAGACACACAGAGTAATGTTTCCTCCGACCTTCATTTGCATGGTGTTACACATGTGCCTCCACACAGAGATACACAGAGTAGTAAATGTCATCCGACCTAAACTTGCATAATACGATACACACACTCACACACAGAGTAAATAAGTGTTTTTAAAAATTCAGTTCTGTAATTCAAAGTCCAGTTTTGTTCAAAAAAATAAAAAATAAGCCAGTGCTAGTGAAATAGCTGAGCAGGTTAAAGTCTTTGCCGCAAAGCCTGACGACCTGCCTTGATCCCTGAACTCACAAGGATGTAGAATAAGAAAACAGACTTCCCCAAGTTGTCCTGACATCCATCTGCATGTATTCCATGGTACACACATGCACACGCATGTACACCATCTATAATGAACATATAAATGTAAAAAAAATAGTGTAAGGCCAGTCAATTTAGAAAATACTTCTTTGCCCCAAGACAGTTCCAATTCTGCCATTGTGGCTATGTGTAATTATTTACAAATTCTTCTTTAAAGAGCAGATGAGGGGACAGAGAAACATCTCAGTGGAAGAGGGCGAGATAGGGCATAGAGGACAGTGGGTTCGATCCTACGCACCACAGAAGAATGGCATCATCGTAAAGGCCAGCTCCGCCATGCTCCTCTCCGCTGCATTTCAGAGGTGCTCCTGTGGGTCTGGGACGTGCTGGGACGTGCACGCTTGCACAGCCCAGCTTTCCGTACTATGCCCACGGCTCTGCTCGCTCCATGCTACAGTAACGCTTCATCAAGGCCACAGATCCCTCTGGGAGGGGTTCTCATCCGTGAGCATCTTCCACTTAGGAATATTGGAAGGAAGTTGAGATTTATAAAGGAGTTTTCAGAACTCGGTTGCTCCCCATTCCTAGTGTTTCCATTCCTTCGTGTGTGAGAACACTCGCTGATCTATACTGACTAGGAAAGAAGGAGGAACGTGTCCTGAAATGTGTGGTGTCAGCAGCAGGGCGGACAGGCAGGCCCAGACAACCAGCAGGGAACTCCAAGGACTGTGGGGAGAGCATCACAGCACCCGGACTGGGACGTGAGAAAGCCAGGATGCCTCAGGCAGCTGTCAACAGCTGAGGGGTGGGGCCGCATGTCGCATGGGTGATCTGAGTAGCTGCCTTCCTCCCTGTCTTGAAACAGCCTGTCCCTCTCCAGAAGCCTTGCTTTCAAAGGGTGTCAAGCTGAGAAAAGACTGGCAGAGTGGGCGGGATGAGAGGGGGTGTCAAGTATCCAGGGTGAGATACGCCAGCATTGCAATCGTGGACGTTGTCCTGCCACCCTGAAGGGCAGAGAGAAACCTAGCAAAAGCCGGCGAGCAGCTCAGTCCTGGCTGCTGGGCCAGTGAGAGGGGAGCCGTAGTGACTGGTGCTGACACCAGATCTGGGTTTAGGGTGCTCTGGAATGGTACTTTGGGCCAGGATTGGCAGGACTTAGCAGTGGGTGGCTCTGGAGCAGTCGTGAGCTACCCGAGAAGAGACAGGTGGGTGCTGGTCAGTCTCTCAATAAGGGGTGGCCATTCCAGGTGTCTCACCCTTCAAAGAGGCAGGAGAACATGGGGTAGAGACTGACTCGCAACCCAGAAGTTGGGGCACTGCCCTTACTCCCTCCATATCCAACGGGCTATGGCAAGCCCTCACGACCTCCCTGGTTTATGTTCTTCATCTGGAAAGGAGAGGCTAGAACAGGGACATGCAAGCCCTTGCAGCCACAACACTCGACTGAGCTGTTGGGAGGAGCAAACAGATTTCATTCAGTTCATTTCCTAACTGCCCTAGATGCTGGGTGTACCTATCAGATGTTTATTGGGTCTTGTATTGAATATAGTTTGTTTAGCTTTTATTGTTTTTTCTCAGGCACTCAGGAGTTCGTCTCACTTCTCCTGGGTTGCCCAAACACTGCCACCCTTATCGTTGAGTCTAGGGGAAAGGAATAGGAATGAATTGCGTTGCAAAGAATTCATAGTTGAGCAGCAGCTGACTGTGTCTTGTGCTATAAAAGTAGTTAACAATAGCAGCAGCCACCTCGCTCTCGTCCCTTACCCTTACCCTATTTTGAGAGCACGCAGCAGCTGGTTGTGCCCGTGCCAGGCAGCACTTAGGCATCGATATTACAACACTATAACTTCCAGCAATTCTTTCATTCTTTTTTTTTAACTCCAGTGGTATTTTTCTAAGTAATTTCTCTTGTAAATTAGGTAATTACTTTTATTTAAACTTAGAGTCGTTACACTGAACACTCTGTGTTTTCTTTACATAAACGCTCAAGAGGAAAGTGTTGATTTTTTAACCGGATATCAAAGCAATTTCACGAGATTCGCTAATTGAGGTGAGATTTTAGTGGAGAAGCAAGTGGGTGAACAGTTTATGCTTAGGTTTGTGAAACACATTGAGGAGGCTGAACTGCAGTTTCCCAAGGCTGTATGCAAATCCATCTTCCTTGGCAGGAGCAGGGAGGTTTGCTGCTGGTTTTTGGCTCCGTAATGGCTCCCCTTACCTTTTGTGTTTATTTTCATTGGCTCTGAAATCATTTCTGTTCCGTGTAGATCACTGAAATCTAATCTCTCAGCCACACAGGGCACTGGAATATTTTTGGGAAAAGGCAGGTGACCGTTGGCCCAGTAGCAGTGGCATATTAAACGACAGTAACCAATGTTCTTTCTTGGAGTGGGAGACCAGGGATGACCTGTGGGGTAAGAGTGCCCAGCAGCTTCACTGTCCAGGCACTGGTCCTCCTGATGTCCTTGCCATAGAGCCACCTGTCCTTGGCCATTAGGCCCATCTTTCTGTTTTTACAGCTGAGGTTTCCGGGACGACAGATACAGGCAGAGAGTAGCAACCACCACTACCAATAATGATGACATCTTCAGACAGTGTTTCTTCCTCTGTGGGCAGGGAAAGTGGCCATCAAAGCTACATGGATAATTCTAGGTTCTTTCAATAGGCTACCATTTTTAGTGGAACCTTTGGTCTCTAAGTCCTTTGGAATCAGCCTTGGCTGATCACCGGGCTCCTTTAATTTTCAACAATAGATGAAGATGCCAGACTGTTGAGGTGTTAGCAGTGGCAATGAGGATCCAACATTCATGAAGCATTTCCTTTGCTCAAGGCCCTGTCCTGAGTGCTTAGGGTGTTATCGAGTTTAGTTCTCACAGAGGCTTTGTGGAGAGGACGCTTTAACAAACGTGGCCACACACCTATATACGGCAGACCAGAATGCAAATCCATTCCTTTGATTTACACCTTTTGCAAACTCCCATTTGCTGGCTAATTCTGGTTTTTGGTAACTGCCAGGACTATAGAGAGCTGCCTCTTCACCTCCATCCCTTCCCGGTCTTCTGCCTTCTCCTCCCATGGCCCACTGTTATCAAGACACTACTCAAGTAATCTAAAGAATATGAACTGAAAGTCAGATGAAAGATTAGAAAAAAGAAAACACATTTCTGACAGGGTTAAAATATTAGTGTGTTTAAAAGTGCAGACTCAGACATTCTGTGACTTTATGGCTTGAGCACACAACGCAGAAATCACAAATAGCTGCACATATTATGGTTTATGGCAAAACAATTAAAATAGTTGAGGCAGTGCCATCCTGCCATCGTCTCTGAAATGCTTCAGCACATTGGCCGGTTTCCCGGCTTTGCCATGATTTATACTCAGCTTTTAATTCCTAGCAAGTTCAACTTTTGGAATTCTGGATTTTCTCCACACTTGAAAATAAAAGCACCTGCATTTCATGACCACTCAGTAAATGTGGATTTCTTCCTTTTCCTCTCGGTCAAACTGGGGTTCTGTTAGGAGAGGAAGGTATTGGGAAACCATTTCAAATGTCAGTTGGAAATTAATCTAAAAGAGGCGTGACATTTTGGAACACATTTGGATTTTCCAGAACCAAAAATACTCTTTAAAAAAAAAGTTTGTCCTCAGGTTAGGCAGAGATGAGGGAAAGACTAGAAATGCTGGCTGACCGAGCGAGGTCTCGGGCCCTGAGGGAGCAGGGTATAGAATGCTCATCATTCCAGCTGCTTTGCTTTTTGAAAACCTGTTATTTAGAAGATTTTAAATGTATGTAAAATTAGAACGAGCCCTCCAGGACGATACCATCCGGTTTTAGCAACTACATAGTCATGGTGGATTTTGTTTGGCCACTTCCTGTGGCCCATTTGTGTGGAAGGAAACCAAGCAGTTCTATCCATCAATAATCCAGGAGATACCTCTCAGAAATCTAAGAAGCACCAAAAGATCTTGAGGAGAAGGCTGGGCAGTGGTGGCGCACGCCTTTAATCCCTGCACTTGGGAGGCAGAAGCAGCCAGATCTCTGTGAGTTCAAGGCCTGGCAGGGCTGCATAGAAGACTCTGTTGAGGAAGGGCTCTAGTACTTAGGATTGTTTAGGATTACCACTCTGAGAGCAGTGCAAGTGTTGGGCTTCTGGGAGAAAACCAGCAAGAGAACATGAAATGATACTTTGGGTTGTTTATTCCTAAAACATGTTTTCTAAGTCCCTAATATTAGGGCTTTATAGTACAATGTTTCTCACTCTGAATAGCATCCACCTAGGACTGGATAACTCTGATGTGGGCGCCCTGTAGAATTAGCATCATCCTTCATTTCTAGAAACCTCCATATTTCCAAAGAGCCCTGTGCCCTGTCCCTGGACCGTGAGGGCCATTGTCTAGTGGCAGAGTGCAGATAAGTTAATGGGCCAATGCAAAGCGTGCCATAATTACTGAAAAGAGCCCAGAGCAAGGGTCAGAATTAGCCGAGTAAGGTTTGGGGAAAAAACGCTCTTGAATAGCCGCACAAAGTCATCACCCCCCAACCCCCACCCTGTTTCTTTGTGGGCCTTCTCAGCCCTGCAACGTTTACAAGAACTGAATTAAAACGGGAGGCCAAAAGCTGTGGTCAGTTACTCATGCATAACCTACCCCAGACACGCTGGTTGGTGAAAGCTAGTTCCGACATCTGAGGAGGGAAGTTTTGGTTCTAGAGGTAAACCAAAATTTGTTCAGACTGTATGAGAAGATTTGATCCAGAATGTTGATTATAGTGTATTCTTTCTGCAGAGAGAGATCCACTGTTAAAATTCTCTTTACAGCAACATCTAGGATTCCTTTCTAACAATCTTTTCCCTAAGTAAATATGGCTGTTCCTTTCCTTCAGCAGGCGGGTTCAGTTGTAGGGCGCTGGAAGAGATGAGCTATTTTTGTTATAGTCGGGTTATGGGGAACTGAGGAACAAGAAATGTTAGTTGGTAAATCCTGGAGCCTCAACTTTGCGGTGTGGGGCTTGTCTCTGCACAAATGGTCAGGACGAGACTTGACACAAGGAAATAAGGCAGGGCTGTTTCTGTTTAGCTCTCTGGGAGGGCCCTATTTGGGGTGAGGGGGAGTATTAGATCACAGTGTAAGTCCATTTTTAAACAATACCATCCATCACAAAGACCTTGCCATAAAACCTAAATTCTTACATGTGAGGTCCTCCCTCTGGGAGAATCCTTCTTTTCAAACCACTTGGGGATTCTGAGTGACACAGTGTAACCGCAGGTGGAAGGCTGGTTGGAGCTCCTGCCAGAAGTGTGTATATACTTCTTGCTGATGCACACTGCTGAGACCTTCAAATGCCTTCGCACTTAGTTCAGTGAGCCAAACTGTTACTTCTTGAAAGTAGGTGGATTTGTGGTCAGATGCTCACACTTGAGAGAGTTCCTAAGGGTGTGAGGTAAGAGACGGAGACTTTTTGTCTACTTTAGAGTATTGTCCAAATCTACAAATATCAGAGTTAGTGTTATTATTGCTGCCAATAAGCTGATACCCAGGAAAGGGCATTTTAGGCAAGCACCCTACCAACTAGGCTACATCCCCAGCCAGGAAACACATCTCTAGAAACATGCATTCTTATTATTTTGTGTGTGCAAGCATTTTGCCTTCACATTTATCTGTGCACCGCTTGCCTGTCTGGTGTGCTCAGAGACCAGAAGAGAACATCAGAATCCCTGAAACTAGAGTTAAAGATAATTGTGAGCCACCTTGTGGGTGCTGGGAACCCAGCTGTTGTAGAAGAACAGCCGATGTTCTTAACCATGGAGCCATCTCTCTGGCCCCTAGGAAATGTATCTTATATAGTTAGTTTAATGACTGTTGAGTTCTGCAAACTAAATTGTATCATTTTTCCCCTAAGACTGAGTTCTAGTTTTCCTTCTGTTGCTATAATAAAGTATCCAAACAAAACCACCCACGTAGAAGAGGGGAGGTTTACACTCCTAATTTAGTCTATCACTGGGAAGAACTCGAAGCAGGAACTTCAAATATGTGGTCACATCATACTCGTGATCGAGAGCAGAGAGAAGTGGCTGCGTACCTGCTTGCTTATCCTCAGCTCCGTTGCTCCATTATGCAAATGTAGGGCCCTTGTTCTGGGAATTGTACCTCCCACACTGTGCTGAATCTAACCCAGCTAACTTAAGACAGCCCCCCACAGACCACCCAATCCAATCTCAACAGTCCCTCAGTGAGACAGCCTTCAAGCCAAACCGTCACAAGCAAGTTCTCATTAAGTGGGTCAAACAGGCCTGAGGCCACTGTGTGTCCAAGCTATCCTTGAACCCATAGTCATTCTGCATCCACCTCCTAGGGGTTGGGATTATAGGATCATAGACTGTGCCTGGCTCCTGGGTTAACTTTTTAAGACACCTTAATTTTCTTAGTAATTGTATTGACGTATAACTTGAATGTCTCCTCAAAGGGCCACCATGACACTCAGATTCAGGGGTTACCTCCTCAGAACCGGACCTGGTCTGATTGCTATGGTTAACCCCGAGAACTCCCGTCTCCATTCACACTATCAATCTTATTATTTATTTTTATAAAGACCAACTTGCATTATTTTGTTCTAAATCCCACAAGTTCTGTTTTGTTTTGCTATGAATCCAAAGACTAAGTGTGTCCGTCTTTATGAATGATGATGAAGTTAAAGCCGAGAGGCACTAAGGACACTTAGAAACTCCAAAGAAAAAGATGGTGTCTGAGCCAGGGCCTCTTCATTCTTTCTCTATAAAAAACTGGATAGATAAAGTATCTGGTTTGGGGACTGTCCAGGCCCTGTCTCAAGTGTCCGGTTCTCTTGCTGTGGCAGGAAAATGGCTGTAGATCATGTGTGCTGCACACGACCACGGAACACCGCTTTTGGGACAAACTTGAATTTCATGTAATTTTCACCTCCTGCAATATTCTCCTTTTGCTTTCTTAAATAAATCATTTCAGATTATAGTTTCCCGTCTCAGGCCAGAGTGTCCTCACCCTGGTTTAAGCTCATCGCACTGTGGAGAGCAGCAAGTACCGGGTACAAGCAGTTACTGAATCAGAGTTTCTCCAGCTAAGGACAGGGTACAGCCCCCCCACACACCCCCACCCGTAACCCGTGAAGCCAGAGTCAGAAATCCTGGTTCAGCCCTTTCCCTGATGTTTCCCAGCTGTGATTGTGAACTGGTCACAGGATATCAGACTCTTGGGCTGCTCATTTGTAAAACAGCAATTGCAAATTCTCTTTCTGCTGGCCTCAAAGGACCAGGTTTAGCATCGTTGAAAAGACCAGGGAGCATCTAAGCACAGAGGTGTTCTGGTCCTCTTATTTCTTGTTTCCTCCATTCTCCAAAAGGGTGTCAGCATTTTAATCACCTTCACCAAGCATTCCTGGAAGTCTGATTCTCTGCTGCTCTGAGGCTTCCCCTAAAGGCAGCACAGGGAAAATGTTGGGACCCTCTACAGGCCTGGCCACGCCAGCGTGTCAGAGTGCGACCTGTGTGGCTGAAAAGGGATGGAGTGAGATAAGAAATGAAGTTACGAAAGCCATAGATTTTCCCCCAAGGCAGGATCTCACTGTGTGGCTCTGGCTGTCCTGAGACCCTGGTCACTACGAAGACCAGACCAGACTCGGCCTCGAACTCACAGAGGTTGGTCTGCCTCTTCCTCCCAAGTGCTAGGATTTAGACTTGTGCTACTATGCCCGGCGAAAAGCTGTAAATTCTTAAAAAAATATTTCAAGGGGGGAACAGTTTTGTAAATGTATTGGAGAAGCCTGGTGTTAGAAGGTATTGAACAATAACTAGAAAGATGAATGAATACATGCACACTCTGTCAGATCCTTGCCTTCAACTTTCCTCCAAATTGCAGAGCCTCTGTAACTGGTCCCTAGCAGAATACAATGCCTGGAATATCTGAGACGTGCCTTTCATATGTTAAGAGGAACTTTAGCGGTGGTTTCACAAAGTATTTATTAGCTTGGGCTAGAGAGAAGTCTCAGCAGGTAAGAGTAGTGTCTGCTCTTCCAGAGGTCCCGAGTTCAGTTCCCAGCACCCAAGTCAGGTGGCTCACACCACTCCAGCTCCAGGGATCCAGCACTCTCTTCTGGCCTCTAGTAGTACACGTACACACACGCTCTCTCTCTCTCTCACACACACACACACATTTATTAACACTTAAAAAAATGCCCTTCTGCTGTGAGTCTGATGATCCCTTGCGTAAATGGAATGCATTGTGACTTATGCTTTTATTTCAGAAAGCGTTCCAGACACTAAAACTAAGGAGTCCAATCCAGTTCCTCCCCCTCCACGTAAGTCTTTATGCAACTATTTCCAAACAATGCCTCTGGGCTTTTCTAAGAATGTGTTGGTCGTGGAAAGTGGAAGCCTTGCCAAGCTTCCACTGATAAGGCAGCTCTGCCTCCTTCCCTCTTCCCCTTCCCTCTTTCCTTTCTTCACTTTTCCCCCCTTCCCTCTGACCTTCACCCTCTCAGTCCTTGTTCTGTGGTCTCTGCCTTTGCCATATTAAAATCCTGACTTGTTGACCCACTGGCACGGGCAGCCTGAGTGTGAAGGCTACAACTTCACACTATCAGGTTAATTATTTTCATGCTTTTTCCTGTTGTGGTGGAAGAGTGTTTGCTTCGAGCTCCCAGTGGTGATCCTTGCTCAGAGAGGTGGTGCTAAGGAAATAGCACCACACACTTAAGGATGGAAGAGCCGGAGAGGGCAAGGAAGAGAATGAGAATTCGGTATCATTGGTACAGAACGTTGGGCGTTATGTAGGCCGCTATCATCTTGTATATCTGAATGAGTTATCATTGGCACTGAAGCCGGGCTCCCCCTTGGGTTCTAGCCGCCCACCCAGAGTTCTTTTTGTTCTTGTGGCCCTGTGAGGAGAATCTGTGTTGACTCCTGGGGCTGGTTTCCAGGGCTGACCCCAAGATGTACACAACATTCTTCTTTCTTTCTTTCTTTCTTTCTTTCTTTTTTTCTTTTATCTTTTGTTTTGTTTTTTGAGACAGGGTTTCTCTGTATTGACCTGGCTGTCCTGGAACTCACTCTGTAGACCAGCCTGGCCTCAAACTCAGAGATCCACCTGCCTCTACTTCCCCAGTGCTGGATACAAGTCATTCTTTTTAATGCTTTTCTACAAAGCCCCATGAATGTCCTAAGTGACTTCTTTCCAGGAGATTATGAAATAGGAGTACCGCACACTCGGTAACAGACACTAACAGACACGGTGTAGACATGTTCTTTCATAGTCATTGGGCCAATTTTCGTAAATGATATCTGTGTCTTTGGAATTTCAGGATGTTTTTACTAAAGAGAAAGTTATCATTAATCTATCTATGCATTCATAGGCATAAGAAGGTTCATCGCCTTTTTGCATCTGTCCCATGGACTAGTTTATGTTCAGGGACTAATGGCTGCTCTGTTGTTCTGACTTCCACCAGGCTCTCCCAGGTTCCCAGCTCCTGTCCAGGACTGCTCATCTGTTATAATAGCTCTGTGTTACTCCTACCTGTGGTGGGTGGAGCCTCCCTCAGTTTCCCAGAACGTAATGAACACAACAGCAGACACAGCTGGAGGAACGAGGGCCTTCTTGACTCCTTGCATAGGGAGTTACCCAACAGAGAGATCTCTGAAGTGCCTGGCTGGCTTAGGGCTCACATTGGCATATAATTGAATCTTTTGTGTCATGTGAGTTCGAAAGCAAAACAATTTCACTTCTAGAATGACCAGCTAGTGTTGCTTCTGAATGGAGTAGAGAGAAGAAGCTGTGTTTAGGTCACGGAGAGAGCTTGTACCTTCAATTTACGCATATATAAACAGATTTTTATTTTACCAAACACTTCCTTACAGGCTAGTCCTAACTCGAAGGTGATTCTTCCTCAGTGGGAGGAAATTTCGGATTTCTGTGAACTGAAATCAGTTGCAAATGTAAAAGATCTCTGCCAAGTAGAGGGACAATCAGTTCTTTTATATATTTTGCTGACCGTAAAACTGACATGGCAGCCCCACTGAGAAGTAATTCTCTTCATGGAAAGATGGGGGTTGGAGGGGCGGCAAAAGCAGGTTGTGTAAAATGAGGCAGTTCTTCAGGGCTAAGATGGGAGCTCACTGTGAAGCCAATGCAGTGTTCTGATGCACAAGAGTAATGTATTCTGTTCTCTTCCTTTTTCTCTGTAAGTGTTCACAAAGGCACTGCAGAGGATGCTAAGGCTGTGATGTCTGTGTAGTGTGTGGGTCACAAGTGCTCGGAAGCGCTCGGTGAATTAAGAAACAATGAGCCTGGTTTTGACAATGAAGTTCACGCCCACCCCATCCCCACCTTCCCCCGAGACAGGATCTCACTATGTAGCCTTAGCTGGCAAAGAACTCACTATACTGACCAGGCTGGCCTTGAACTCATATTAATCTACCTACCCCTGCCTCCCAGAACTGGGACTAAGGGCACACCCACAACATCTGTTACTTGACCTTCTTAAGAATCAACCTGTGAATTTTCAAGTTACCTTCTCAGACCAGGACAGTGAGACCACAGATAGAAAGTACCACAAAATTTATGTCTCATTTTAAAAAATGACTTTTTGGGGAGCTGGAGAAATTTCTCAGCGATTGAGCACACTTGTTGCCTTTGCAGAGGACCCAGATTCAGTTCCCAGCATCAACAAGATGACTCGTAGCCATCCGTAACCCCCAGTCTAGGATAGGAGATTCAATAGGCACACGTGTGGTACACATGCATGCATCCAAGCAAAAGATTCATACAAATAAGGTATGATAAACCTAAATGTTTTATTTAAAAGCATTTATTTAAGAAGTCTTTACTCAGAATAAATTGCTAACTGAATATTTAAAAACCCAAGTGATCCATCTTTTCTTTTGTCAGCAAATTTGCAAGTAACAAATTGTAAAGTGGAATTCTTACCACAGTATCTGAATTTCTAGTCAGCACCCAGGCTTATGGTCATGCTTGTAGTGAGAATAAAATTAAAGTGTATAAGACTGACTTATACAGAGTGTATGTTTCTGGTTTTCTCCTTTTAGAGATTTTCCATGGTCTGGACACACTAACCGTAATGGGCATTGCATTTGCTGCATTTGTTATCGGAGCACTCCTGACAGGGGCCTTGTGGTACATCTATTCCCACACAGGTGAGTGTGACTGCTTACTGTATCTGGGCACCTGCCTAACAGACATGCACAATTTTATGGATGGATAAAATAATAAAAGAAAGAACATTTACCTTCACTATTCTTATATTTATGTATTTGGTATAAGTTAGGTCATGTAAAAATATAACTTTTCCCAAGTGATACTTAGAAAAAGGATGTTTATTCTATGTTAGTTAGTTACAGTTTATCCTATGTTAGTTAGTTACAATTTATCCTATGTTAGTTACAGTTACAATTTATCCTATATTAGTTACAGTTACAATTTATCTTGTGTTAGTTACAATTTATCCTGTTAGTTACAGTTACAGTTTGTTCTCTGTTAGTTACAATCTATCCTATGTTAGTTACAGTTACAATTTATCCTATGTTAGTTACAATTTATCCTATGCTAGTTACAGTTACAGTTAATTCTATGTTAGTTACAGTTTATCCTATGTTAGTTACAGTTACAGGTTATCCTATGTTAGTTACAGTTACAGGTTATCCTATGTTAGTTACAATTTATTCTATGTTAGCTAGTTACAATTTATCCTATGCTAGTTACAGTTACAGTTAATTCTATGTTAGTTACAGTTTATTCTGTTAGTCGCAGTTACAATTTATCCTGTGTTAGTTACAATTTATTCTATGTTAGTTACAGTTTATCCTGTGTGCTAGTCACAGTTACAGTGTTGGTGATATTCAGCTTCTAATAAAGCTGTGTGGTCATAGGATTTAAAGAAAGCTTGTATAGGACTAATTAGAAAACATCCCTCCAAAGGAAAAAAAAATGGAATCAACTGAGCGATACCCAGGATGCAACGAGAGAAGCCAGTCACTTATTACCACAGATGCCAGGGCACTGAACAATGAATGTCCACCAGCGTCCTTGTCAGTGGTTCTAAACCACGGTCCCCTGGCCTCTAACTCATGACATCTTTGATAAACAAGTTTCTCCTATATTTACAAAGTTTAAGATTTCAAAATATATTTTTATGATTTATAAAAAGCCTGAAAAGTGAAACGCAAATTTTAAAGCTGTGCCCTCCCATTCCCACCTCCGAATATCGATGTTCCCTCCAGTCAGCCCCAAGGTTGAACCTGTTCAGAAGCCAACACTGAACACAGGCCTGGCAGGGATTCACTTGCTCAGTGGGGAAGGAGACTGACCCTCCACTTTCTCCTAGTTCTCTTTGATAGCTTTCTATAATTAGGAAGGGAGGGCATGTATGTGGAGATGTTTTAAAGTCTGGAGTTTGTGCTATGACCCTGGGTAAACTGGCTAGATTGATGTCTCTGAGGCAAACTTGACTTCTGTAGCCTTTTCCTCAGCTGGAGTCATTCAGCTAGCTTCACCAGAAGAAAGGTTATCGGAAGGGAAGGGAGGGAGCCTCAGGTGTCACCATACCTTTCAAATTTCTTCATGTCTGTGCATGTGTGTATGAATGTCCTCATGGGTGTGGGTGTGTGCAGGTGTGTGTGCATGCACACATGCGTGGAGGCCCAACATTGACTTTGGGTGGTTCCCCATCACTCACTTTATATATTGAGGCATGGTCCTTCATTGAATTCAGAGTTGCCAACATTGCTGGACTAGCTAACCACCTTGTCCCAATGATCCTGTCTTTGCTTCCTAAGTGCTAGATTACAATTAGCTACCAACCTGGCCTGGGCTTCACATGAGTTCTGGGGGTCCTAAACCCCAACCCCCATACTTGGGCAGTAGGTGCTTGTCCCCTGCACCATCTCCTCAGCCCCCGTGTTTTCTGTTAGTTGCTAGACAAAGTCTCAAACTGTTGAGAAAATTATATGACAGAGCTCTTTTGTTAAAATGTCTGACTCTTTCCATCAACAATTTCACTTCAAATGCCATAGCCCTGGACGAAGGTGTTTTCGGTTATGGCACGCAAGGCAACAAGCCCTCAGTGCCTGGCCAGGCTACCTTCCAAAGCCAGCTAGTGACAGAGGCTTAGTGTTTAAAACCTGAGCATTGAGTTCTCAAAAATTGTTGTTCCCAACCAGTGTGCTCCATGTCAGGGAAAATGAAGCCCTAAGTGGGATGGTTCTGGGCATTATATAAATGCCTCTGAATCATTTGAAGACTTTTCCTCCATGTAAAAGTTCAGAAAGAAAGAAAAAAAAAACCCTGAAGAGACAGCTTTTAGTAGAGTAGAATGTTGGAGCAAATGCTTTTATCACAGCAGTACTGACGTGTTTAGATCTCAAACTAATAGTTCTTCGCAACTTTTTCCAACCTCTTGCACAGGGGAGGTTCTGGGGCACTTGGCACCCTGTGTTTGTCTACTGGGAATGAACTTGGATGTACTCCAAGAAGGCTGTAGTCCTGAGGATTTTATGTGGGGCTGGTCACACACAGATGTTTTCTGTGTGTCTTCTCAGCCACTGACTGACTTCAGTCTTAGAGCAGGTCATGAAACCCACACAGTCCATCTCGGGCTAGGAAGCCAGGCCCAAGCATAGCGTGGGGCTAGCAAATGGTACTCGCTGTGGAAGCACACCCCCCTGAGACCCCTCTAGCAAATTCCAGATGTGTCCACAGCCAAGCCTCACACCAATAAACAGAGAGCAGAGCTTGACTGTATTGTGTTCTGCTTCCCCTCATTGAACTTGGAGATGGTTGTCCCTCACCCCCTCCCATCCAAACAAAAGCCTCAGAGGGGAGCTTCCAGTATTGTTAATACAAAAATAAAGTTTGCACATAGATTTAAGACAAACAAAAGCCCTTCCAGCAAACAGTTTATGTTTATTTCTGTTTATGCCAGCCCAGACACTAACAGGCCTGTGGACACTGTTGTCGGAACTTACAGCTCCTCTGATACTGCTTATGATCCCGCTCCGAAAGTACTTGTCCGTCAAAGCTGTGGCCCCAAGTGCATTTTCTGCACAGCTCGTAATTAATCTTAGTGTTACTCAAACACAAAGAGGGCTCAGTTCAGAACCCAGTAAATTTCTGACGTGGGTCAGCCAGCAGCGAGTTTAGATAAACAGGGATGGTCAGGGTGGTGCGGCGAGCAAGCAAAGATGGGCAAATCCAAACACTGACTCAGTCCTGCTCAGTTTCCACAAGAAGCTCCAATGTGGAACTCAGACCTTATATGGTCTATGTGGGGGCTCGGGCTACGTCTACCTCTGTGTCCAGAACAACGCTTCGTTTGGACGACTCCCCTCTGCTTCTGTTTTCCACAGCACAAACCAAGTCACAGATTTGAACTGTGACTCCTTATGTTCCTGAAATCATTTTGGTCTAAAAAAGAAAGGCAGGGCTCCCATTGTCATATAGCAACTCCAGGCACAGCAAGATAGCTCTTTCGGGCTCTATTAGTTCTGTCTTAAAGCCATCTCGTGTTTAGACATGAAGGACGAGAGGAGAACATGGCTGGAGATAGGCGTAGCTCTACTCCAAGATTTCTCACCTCCTGCGCCACGGGTCCCAAAGTCAGAGGTGTGTTTACATCTGTTGTTTTCTAGAAGAAACAACTCTTACCTTTGCTCTGTAGAAAACCGTGTTAGTCTCATCGAGATAGTACGTGTGCTTTAAACAGTAAGTAACTTACTGTTGAATGAGTTCTGCAAAACTTGCTGCAAGGCCAGATCCTCACTACCTCACTCTTTGTCTCATTCTCTGGAGTAACATTGATTTTCATTCTTGTCTGACTTTAACTGGTATCCAAGTTATTTAGACTGCCCCTTTTGGTTTGGGATCTTCTCTGTCAACATCCTGCTCAGAAAGTGAGGGTTTATTTCCACTTTTCCTGGATGCCCCATTATCATCCCTTTCCCTTTTCACCCTGTAGTAGATTCATAATGAAGTCTGGTTAGATCTATATTCACTGTGTGTCATCATGGCCACCCACATGCCAACCGCGATTTAGCCACTTAGTGACAGTTCTGTTCTTTCGCCTGTTGTTTTAGCTTTCCCAAGGATCAGTAGCATTTCCCTGCCTACACCTATCCCATTCCCCGTTAGTTTAGTTTTCTAGACATTTAACATCCATTCATCTACTGACTGCGAGCTGTTATGACCTCTTCACACTTCCATGGGAAGATAGCTAGAGACTGCTCAGCATTCAAGCTTGCTGGCCGTTCCTTCAGGGAACCTAGGCTTGGTGCCCAGCACCTGTGTCCCACAGCTATTCACAAGCGCATGCACGTGCTCTCCCCACCCCTCTTAAAAATAAAACAATTTTACGTCAGTTGGACCTAGCTAATGTCTTATGCCATTTATCCCAAGCCTTCCTTCTTCTTGGTCTACTGAGGACACGGGAAATGCATGTTTCCTTTATGCCGTGAGTCTGAAATATCTTCATTTTATAGAAACCCTTGATAGATGAACATGACGGAGACCATTAGATTATAAATAACCCCTTTGGAATTTTGAAAGTTCTCCTCATTTTCTTCTAGCTCCATAAAGTTTGCTGCTGAGGGGTTTGAGGCCATTTAGCTTTGGATTTCTTATTCTTTGTGTGATCTGACTTGCCTTTCTGGAGCTATCTTTATAACACTGTCCCTGATTTAGATGTGTTCCACAGTTTGAGCTGAGAATTAATTGGGCTTTTGGTCTAGGAATGCCTGCCCTTCATTCCATCTTCCTCCTCTCCATCCCTTCCTTTATTCTTTTTTTTTTGGAGGGAGGGGGCATTGATATAGGAAATATTAGTGCACAATAGGTTGGCCTTTAACTCACTGTGTGGCCCAAACAGGCCTCAAATTTGCTGTCCTCCTGCCTCAGACTCCTAAGCACTATGATGACAGGCATATGTCCCTTTACCTGGCTCACTCGCTGATTCCTTCCTCTTCCCTTCCTTGCCCCTATTTTCCATCTTCTCTCCTTACATACATCACTTTATTTGAGAGATGAACCTCTATAGTCCTCTACCCTTCCTCATCTCTCTTTCAGTTAACCTATGATACTGCCTGGAAAAATTTAAATTCCAAGAACTTTGAATTTCCATTGTTTTGTTTCTCTAAAGTTCTGTCCT